GATTAGTGGTTAAACATATCGTAGTTGATCCGTGATCCGTACAGACCAAGCCCCACGATTCGGCAGTTTATCATTTGTTCGTATTTACACAAGCAAGCGAATTTTAAACAATTCCAGATAGAAAAGGCGAAAGGGAATTTGATTCGTTACTCACGCACTGTTCTCTACGCGCACAGCCGCACACGCATTTCAGACGGCGCGTGAACACCGAACTGAATCTTCGTCTGAATCCTCTGAACAGACACATACACATAAAATTATGACAAAATACCCATCTCGACAATCATTCAGGTAAACGCAGTCAGTTATGTCTCAAGTGAATGAAAACAGCTGAGAAAGAAATCGGATGTGATGTGTATCATTTTATCGGATCCGTTCATCAGGTCTTAAAGGGACAGTGGCCTATAAATACTGCTGCTGTCATTAATGATCATCAAACAACAAAACAGCTGTGATAAAAATCTATATTTAATTTATACAGTGAACACTCTGCAGTGTTATTTTCCCTAATTATTACATTTCTGTATTTGAATACTACCAACTTATTTTATTTGTAACATATTCTGTTGTATTTATCTATGCTTGTAATTTGTGTATTTGTTCTTATTTTTACTGGCTGTTCTCTTGTCTCTTTAAACTTTCTTGGTTAATCTAGTAGTATTTGCTACTAGTAGTAGTGTTTGCTTAATTCGCTTTAAGTAATAAATGGAAAGCAAGTTGAAAATTGAAATATTTTTCTTTTCTTGCTGATCCGAAAAATGAGTCAAAAACCGTAATGTGATCCGAACCGTGAGATTTGTGATCCGTTGAACCACTAGTATTCGCACCTGAATGATTTGCAAAGTTGACTTTATACATGTTAAAACCACAGATTACTGGTACAAATCCTCTCATCTGAGGTGTGTCTTTCACCAATAACGGCTGGATCGGAATTGGCCGATACTCAGAATTTTTGGTATCGGATCGGTTCTGAAAAAATGGTATCGTTGCATCCCTAATTAGGAAAGGCGATTTGCAAAGATTCATAAAAAAACCCCTATACTCACTTCTGTAGGTGAAGCTGGATCACGAATGATTCGTGCGGACATAGACGCATTTAGGTAGATCGGGGGGTGCATTCCCTTCAGAAACAAAAGTAATCTACTGCGTCTTCAGCGGCTCAGATGTGGGGAGTAAATGACAACTGCTATGTTCATTATAACATCCAATAACAAAACACATCAATCGCTTAGGAGCCATTCTTGTCTACAACTGCTCCGGTGTCGCAACAATGGTGGACTGATGACAGCTCACTCAGGGTGGAGCTGTGCTTAAAAAAAAAAAGACTGACGTCACTGTCAATCAACAATCATGGGAGGGGCCTGTGCAGAACTACGTCATTCTGCCAAGAATCTGAGATCGGCTTGATATGAGAAAGGGGTTTGGATTTATCGAGATTTAAAAAAAAGCACTGGGTGGATTTTTATCATTATAGGGTGGTTGTGTACACACACGCTGCCAACACACATTTCAGTTCAAACAACATGTAAAAGTGAATTTTGCATCTGATGACCCCTTTAAATTATTACTAAACTATACACAATTTGTTTGATGCCCCCAAGATGATCAAATATCATTCATACAGTTTTGACTGAGCTACTTCTGGGTTTTCTACTGTGTACATACTGAAATTCACAAAAATAAATAATTTAATGCTGTTTTTACAAAGACTTTCATTGAAAATGACTTTCATTGTTTGTATCGAACTGCAGTGTTGACCTCTGTTTAATAATCAGCATGATTACATGACAAGATGATTGTAGGAATTATTGTCCTGTGTGTTAACAGTTTCATTGAGGTTTCTACTGAAAGGCGTTGACCTCGATCTGTTATGTCATGCGTTACCAGCCAAACACGTTCTCTCAGACCATTGTAGTGTCTTCAACCCTAGTAGGAAAGTCGTTCTGTGAGTTTGGCTTGTAATGAGCTGATGGTATTCAAACTATGGCAACTCACGACTTTGACATCTTATTTGATTACACGTGTAGGTATGTGTTCCCACCGTAAATTTTCAAGTTCTCCGTCAACCTGTAACCTATCTCATCCTGTTGTCTTGTCAGGGTCAAAATAATAAATTCATCACAGTCATTTAATCTGTTTTGTGAAATATTATTACAATTTAAAATAACAGATTTCTATTTCAATATATTTTAAAATGTAATTTATTCCAGTGGTCAAAGCTGAATTTTCAGCACAATTACTCTAGCCTTCAGTGTCACATGATCCTTCAGAAATCATTCTAATATGCTGATTTGAGGCTCAACAAACAGTTTTTTGATGTACCTGGCCTTATCAAAGCAATAAGGCACTTAAGGCCATAGTGTACAGTCAGTGAATAAAAGAAAAACACACTTTAGTTGTCAGTATATTCATAATTTAGCACAGCCAGTCATAGTTTATAATTCTGTGATTCTGTGAGCTCTGTGAATTTATAATATGTTAGTCTATGCTGTAACAGTATTAATGTGCTGTAGGATTGAACCTTTGAGCAACAGGAAACTCACACCTTTAATTGTCATCGCTACCTTAGTTTCCATACATTCATGGACATGGAAGCATCAGACATACATTAAAGCTGCTATTGTTTCCTAATCATGATTAAAGGGCAAAACAAATGAGAGCTGCCTCAGCTAGCTTGCCTCTAGCATGTCAAACGAGGGCAAACAAATGCTGTTGTATTTTGCATGCTTATCTTTTTATAATAAAGTAGTGCTCAAAGAAAGTGAGATATAAAACAGTGTGTTACAGTGGTTGATTTTCACTGCGGTAAAGTGGCGACAGCAACAACATGATGTTCAATAAGTTATAAATAACAATTATTCTGTACGGTAGCTCATCCAATCCAATTTCAGAGTCAGAACTATCCTAGTTGTGTAATAATGATAAATATAATGTGATGTAATCTCTATCTGCTAATATATTTGTACATCTTTTGATTACAGAAATATGATTTCTACTAATTATAAGAACGAAACGGCATGTTGTCTATCCAAAACTTGCAAACTTATGATTAGTCTCTTGTATTGTTGTTGAACGGGGCACTTCTAATGGACCTATTGTTTTCAACAGGATGGGGAATTCCTGGTGCGGACGCTCCATGTGGAGTATGTGGACGGGGGGATCCTGGACCCAGATGACATGCTAGCAGACCTGGTGGAGGACAAAGACAAGGTACGAAACGTGGTACTTATACACAAACACTAGAGCTGGATCGAGAGGCTATTTCTGTGTTACTGTGAATATTATCTAGCGTGTTCGTCACTAAAATGTACGGTATGTTTGAATGCAGTTACGTTTGGCAAATCACTTTGATTGTTTATAGCAGTGGCCTGTGGTGGACTTCTGAATTGAGTTCCCTCTGTGAGTTTGGGTTGTTTAGGTCATTGTAAATTCAATTTTCATTTGAATTTGATGTTTACATGTTCAGTCTTTAGTTGTTTGGCTATTATCATTAATAATAATCCCTTTCTTTTTGAACCATTTGGTCAGTAAACAATGAAGGTATCATGATGGTATACCTCACCTCTCACTCAAAGATCAGGCTTTTGTGTCATTTAGGGTTCATTTGGATTCAGGTGTGGCCAAATGTGATGCTATCTGAGTGGGTGAGTTGTTTAGTCTGTAACTAGGTGATCTGTTTTTTCCAGTTTGGCTCATTCTTGCAGATTTGCGGACCAGCTGTGAGCATGATTGGTGGGCATTATCGCATTGAGGGTAGTCAGCCAATCACAGCACTACCTTCTGTCATGTGACTTGTCAAAGCTACTGCAATATATTTGCAGTCTGCCAAGTTTTTTTTGTGCTGCCTGGACATTCATAAACACAGTTTTACGTCTAGAAGAAGTGGGAACTTGCAAAGCAAGTTACTTCAGACGTTTAGTTGGGACTTGTTTAGCCTGCCCTCCCTGCCTTGAGCGGATTGGTGTACACACCAATGACATCATCACTATTTCAGGAGCTTTGGCTCCAGTTTGGAACCAGTTTGGCAGCATTTATTTTTTAATAACACTTTTTGCACTTTTTGTGTAACAAGCTGTAAGCCCGTGTTGAATAACTACATCTGCCATGCTTAATATTAAAGTTTTTGATGAATGTTAATATTACTATTTAAGCAATTTGTGTCAGAAATGTCCATTTTGCATAGCATAATCTCATAAACTCTCTTAAATTTGAATAATAAGCATGGTAATAATAAGTCTAGATGCATACATGAAACAAATGATAAATTCTTACTCAGCAGGGGTTGAATAATTACTAATAAAATATTCATATGATATTCAAAGCAGCTTATAATCATTAAGCCACTTCTTTCATTTGAGTTTTTCACATTTTTGAGATTTTAAAACTGGTTCAGTTTATTAGGAATTACATTATTATTCAGATAAACACGTTGGTGGCATAATTCAGCTGTTTAGCTATTAGAGACATGGAAAAATATGATATTTTACTCCCGAGTTGCTTTCTGATTTATTCATTGTTTTATTCATATGGTCTGTGTGCTTTTGTTGTGATATGGATATAAATTACAAATACAGATTTGCAGATGACACATGAAGATGCATGGAAATTGATCATGGTTGTGTATTAGAGGAGAGCTTCTGGTCATTTAATATTTATGAAAATACATTAAAGTTGCTAGTGCCAGGGAGTTGTTACGCCATTGAGTGTTTTTTTAAGCCTATTACTGTGGAGTTGTTAGTGTGTTCTGGGTAATTGCTAATTAGTCGTTACTTTGCAAGTTGCTTTTTTCAATCTAAGGCAGGGGATTTTGTTGTCCACCATGTGAAAATAAGTTGGATCACTTACGAAAAGTAATCAAAAAGCACCTTCTCTGATTTGAAGTGTCCTTACTGGCTGTAGCACAGGTGATGCTGGACTAGTTATGTGCTGAAGTTTAATACTTGTGGTTAATTTAAACAAACCCTTAAAGGAACACTCCACTATTTTTGAAAATAGGCTCATTTTCCAACTCCCCTAGAGTTAAACAGTTGAGTTTTACCGTTTTCGAATCCATTAAGCCGATCTCCGGGTCTGGCGGTAGCACTTTTAGCTGCAGCTTAGCATAGATCATTGAATCTGATTAGACCATTAGCATCTTGCTCAAAAATAACCAAAGAGTTTCGATATTTTTCCTATTTAAAACTTGACTCTTCTGTAGTTACATCGTGTACTAAGACCGACGGAAAATGAAAAGTTGTGATTTTCTAGGCCGATATGGCTAGGAACTATACTCTCATTCTGGTGTAATAATCAAGGAACTTTGTTGCCGTACCATGGGTGCAGCAGGCGCAATGATATTACGCAGCGCCTGGAAATAGTCCCCAGCTAGGTAACTTCCAACGTGACCGGCACTAAGTTTGTGTAGTTGGTTATGCAGGCTAACGGAAGTTAGCCTATTTTCAGGTGCTGCGTAATATCATTGCGCCTGCTGCACCCATGGTACGGCAGCAAAGTTCCTTGATTATTACGCCGGAATGAGAGTATAGTTCCTAGCCATATCGGCCTAGAAAATTGCAACTTTTCATTTTCCGTCGGTCTTAGTACATGATGTAACTACAGAAGAGTCCAGTTTTAAATAGGAAAAATATAGAAACTCTTTGGTCATTTTTTAGCGAGATGCTAATGGTCTGAATAGATTCAAGGAAAATGAGCCTATTTTCAAAAATAGTGGAGTGTTGCTTTAACACTGAGTTTGAGCAACAGCAAAAGTGATGCTTGCATTATTAATTTTGGTAATTTTAAGGTGTCCTTTTTACACGTTACATGTACTTACTATTATATCCTTGTTACGCATGTTACATCTACTTACTTTTATAATAACAATAAGTTATGCATAATTACATGCAAGTAACCCTGAGCCAAACTCTAATCCTAACCCTAACCATATAGTAAGTACATGTAGTTAATTATTATTACTCAGTACTTAAATGTATAAAAAGACACCTTAAAATGAAGCGTAACTGTAATTTTCTTTCATCTTGTTTACATCACTCTACGCATCAAGAGCTTTTTGATGCCTAAAATTGCTGTCTAGATAAGCAGCCCACTTAGTTTTGGAACAGAGCCGTTTTGACTCCAATAAAACCGCTTATTGGCAAACTTTCTGGCATGAAATTTGGGCTGAATAGGAAATGAGGAAAACGTTTTTACTCTTTAACTCGCTGCTATTGATTCCTGCACGATATTGCATTCTAAACGCAGTTTTCTTTTTCTTCCTGAAAGTGTTTTCCTTCCATTTAGAACGAAAAACCATTCTTGCGAACCCATTTTTCACACTGACCGGGCCCATTATTGCCCATTATGCAGTCAAGCGGCTTTCGTCTCTGTTATAATAATCTTTATCATCCTTTGGAAACATTCCACTGAGACGAGGTCTCACCGTTAGTAGCGCATGCTAATCAACTTTAATACAAAGCCAGTGCGAGGGAGTCACAGCATCTTCATTAGACTGTTCTTCACCTCCCACGGAGGTTGATTAGGGTGAAGTTGCCATGGCGATGGAATCAGATTAAGGCCCCACCCCTGCACTGATGCCCATTAACCCCCAGCAGGAAGTGATGGCGCTTGGCTTGACCCCCGGGCCCTTCACATGAATATTCAGTGTGGGATGATGAATGACGTTAATGCGTAGAGTTGCTGTAGACGGGGCCCCGGTGGACTCTGGGAGACGGAGAGGTCATGCTGGGAGGACTTGCCACACTGTTTCCTTTAGTCAGTTAAACACTTAATCACTCTAGTTCTTCTCTTTTAGCTTTAATATTCTGTTTTTGTGGTGGTGTTATGAACTTTCACTCATTTTGGGTTGATTATGATGATCTTTGGGTGTCTGCTTGTGTGGGTAGATGTCGGAAAGAGAGAGTTCTTCCAAAAATGATCATAATTTTTGAATTTCGTTAATGTCAGAACAAATCTGAATGTGTACGACTTTCTTTTTCCAGTGGAATACAAAATGAGTTGACTAACATAATCTCTAAACTAAAAAGAAAGTGAAAAAAATTGGCATAAAAGTGCATTGTAAACAAATATGTTAAAAGATGCTGCTAGCTGGGGTTGCCTTAACTTTATTGTAAAAATATGGTAACAACATTTTAGGTTTTATGGCTTACACTTAACTTAATGTATATTTCAGTAAGGAAGTTAAACAATTAGTTCACCCAAAAATTTAAATGCTATCAATAATTACTCACCCTCATGTTGTTCCAAACCATAAGACCTTTGTTCAAAATTAAGACAAATTAAGATATTTTGGATGAAATCCGAGAGCTTTCTGAGCCTGCATAGACAGCAACACAACTGACATGTTCAAGGCCCAGAAAGGTAGTAAGGTTATTGTTAAAATAGTCCATATGACATCAGTGGTTCAACTGTAATTTTATGAAGCTATGAGAATGTTTCGAAGACTGACACGGAATAGAAGAAATTGTTGAATAAAGTCATTATTTTTGTTTTCTTTGCACACAAAAAGTATTCTCGTAGCTTCAGAAAATTATGGTTGAACCACTGATGTCACATGGACTATTTTACCGATGTCTTCACTGCCTTTCTGGGCCTTGAACATTTCAGTTGCATTGCTGTCTATGGAGGGTCAGAAAGCTCTTGGATTTCATCAGAAATATCTTAACTTGTTTTCCGAAGATGAATGAAGGTCTTACGGGTTTGGAACGACATGAGGGTGAGTAATTAATGACAGAATTTTCATTTTTGGGTGAACTATCCTTTTAAGATATTTTTGATGAAATCTGAGAGCTTTCTGACCCTGCATAGACAGCAATGCAACTGACACATTCAAGGCCCAGAAAGGTAGTAAGGCCATCGCTAAAACATGTGACATCAATACTGGTTCAACCGTAATTTTATGAAGCTACGAGAATACTTTTTGTGTTAATTAATTTGTGTTCCGAAGATGAACAAAGGTCTTACGGGTTTGGAACGACATGAGGGTGAGTAATTAATGACAGAATTTTCATTTTTGGGTGAACTAACCCTTTAATATAACAATCTGCTGAACTACAAAAATCTGTTTTATTCCTGTTATAATATGCTGACAGCCACCATAAAAACACTGGTGGGAATGAGAAAGCTACATGTAGAATCAAAGTTCATCACAAGCCTTTTCCACAAGCTTTGGATGTAAAATAGATGGAGCACAGTGTTGTGCAATACAAAACACA